TGCAAATTTCTACCTTTGGAATAGGCAAATCCGCGGGGGATTTAAATATCCCCCAGGGGATTTAAATAAAGATGGCCGCCGCTTTTTTTCCGGCTTGGGGAAAAGCCGGAAAAGAGCATCTAGACTGGTGCGATCCTCCGGAATAAAGCCTTTTTCTGGAGGATCTCTTATTCCTTCCTTGCAAGTAGGAATAAGAGATCCTCCAGAAAAAGGGCTTTTTTCCGGAGGATTGCGCCAGTCTAGACGCTCTTTTCCGGCTTTTCCCCAAGCCGGAAAAAAAGTGGAAATCCCACGGGGGATATTTAAATCCCCCGCGGATTTCCCTATTCTGACTTGCCTGCTTTGCATGCCTCTTCCGGAGAAGGGGCCAGTCTAGACGTAGCCGTAGTGTTCGATTTAGTGGGTGTAGTGTAGACCTCCCACCCCAAATCGAATGCTGAGGGCAGCCCCTGCAAGCAGCCTATACTCCTCATTCTATAAGGAGCAAAAAATCTGGCGGGAGCTTGTAGCTGGCAGGAGCTACATCGGCCTCCCTCAGTGTAGACGCTGCAATGGCTCAGCTTAAGGTAAGCCAAATCCAGTTATACATTTTGAGTACCTTAAGCTGACCTGCCCGGACAAGTTTAGACCTAGGTTAAGATAGCAGGGCAAGAGCTGCTTTCAGGACTAGAAACATTCGAGCAGCTTCAAATAATTACAACATTAAAAGAAAACTGTCTCAAAAAAGTTTCCTTCTCAAATAAAAGGTAAAGTAAAAAATTACGGCTCTAAAATTAAATGTGCTGCAACAGTGAGGGATGCACAGTTTTTAGAGGCCCGATATTATTGGTGTTGAGATATTAAGGTGCAAAGTGCCTTAATTCAAAATATGTCCATATCTCTTAAGTATTTCTATCAAAACTAGAATCACCTGCTTAATGCCTTTCAGATCAGATTTCAGATTATCCAGTGAGATGTGTGTGTAAATATATGCACACACACACAGAGACCTGTACATTTGAATCCCTCATGGTTCACAAGATATGAGGTTTTAAATTTGCTATATGCTGGAACACATAAAACCTATTTTAAATCACTTTTGAAACCTTTAAATTTTTAATTCTAAAATTTTCTTCCAAAACATGCATGGATAACTAAGGCAACCTGATTTAAAGGTTGAGGGGTGTGAAAAATAACTAGCATCTCTAAAATTCTGCATAAAAATACATTATATTGTTGGATAGTTTAAAGGTTTTATAGGCATTCTTGGAATGATTTGTGTTATTCATTCATAGCTTCATCACATATAAGTACTGCAGTCTTCACAAATGAAAGACAATAAATGTTATACCAGTGCACACCATTAATATTATACACAGAGATATTCACTTTATGCTTATCCATCCAACTGTAACAATCA